TTTGATACATTTATATAAAAAGGATTATATATTACATTTCAACCAAATAGTAGTAGTAGTATTATTGTAGTTTAAATTTATATGAAACAGCAAATTGTAACAAAGAGAGTCCCGCTTGGAATTATTCGGTATCGCAATTTTATATGAAAAAGTAAACTAAAAATTAACTTTGTTCCATGCAGCATTCTCAAATATATGCATTTTTTGACATATTTGTCCGTTCGTTTAAACATTTGCGATTCAAATTCTCGAAATCATAAAATATGCCAAGACAACTCCAGGCTCTATTTAGTCCAGATTCTGAGTTTGCTCAGTCCTTTTTCGTCCTTCGCCTCTCCTTGTGCCTTCTTCGTCCGTTAAAATTCTGAAAGTAATCAAAAGTGCTCTTCTATCATGTTCGCAAATCGTGATGAGCCAGCCCGTAAGGGTACTAAGCTTTCAATAATATTTAAATTCAAAAATATTGCACTCAACACCTTTTAATTGAGCACCAGTGAAATGGATTTTAATGTTCAGCAAGTATTTTAATCAAAATAAAATAATTATTTGTTTTAATATATTATCAGATACCTGACACATCTACTTGCCCAAGGTAATCCGATATCCAATATTTGAGCCAAGGTACTCCTTGTTGTTTATTGAATCGAAATTAAATGTTTTTATTTTTAAATATTGTAAAAAAATACTCGCGCATGTTCAATGAAATTATCATCATGTCATATATATAGTTAGGAGGTAAAAAAACAAAAAAACAAAGTGAATAAATTATACAAGTGTTTACAAGTGTTTCTCCTTTCAAACTGAACTACCACGTTTTATTTCATTATACAAGTGTCTCTCCTTTCAAACTAAACTACCACGCTTTATTTTTATACATTATACAAGTGTTTATTTCTTTAACTTGATTTTCTCCTTTCGAACTGAACTGAGTTGCTAGTCGAGACAGACGCGGTCCTAGGACCGCTAGAAACTCCAATAAACCGTTCAAAAATGGCCATTTTCACATTTTTCCTAGAATGTGAGCAAGATTTAAGAAATGTTTATTGTATACAAAATGTTTTCTCCATTTTAAAAAATAAAAAAATTTAAAAAAAAGAAGAGGAAGGGAAAAAGAATAGAAGAAGGATGGGGAAAAGGAGAAAGACGAAGAGGGGAGGGAAAGAGGAAAGTATCACGGGAGGGTAGGGCAAATATGGGGAGAGGAAACCTAAAATTGATTGTAAGCTGTAGAAGCGAGCAAGCTCAGACCACTCTAAGGCGACCCCTTCGACTTACGCCACAAGACAACGAAAAGATAATCTTGATCTTATGGTAAAAATGCATTTTTTCTTCTAAAAACGTTATAATATAGAACATGTATAAAGAACAGACATAAAATTGCCATACAGAATTTTTGAGAATCAACACCAACACGATCAGAAAATTTCTTGCCTTTTCTGTAAATATTTAAAAAAATTCAAAAAAAAAATATTCAAAAAAACGTATGTATCTTAGTGAAGTAGTTAGTAAACAACATATTTTTCTGATGCTATAATAAAAACTCGTTCCCCGCTTTTCGATGTATGTATATTTTACGAAAAGTCAATAAGCTACATGATGATACAATAACGTTGAATGCGAGAAATTTTAAACAACATTTTAAAAACGGTTATTTGACCGCGCATGGTACGTTTAGTGTTTAGTTGTGCTTGCGGCCGGGATTCATGCATACATGTGTATAAAATAGTTTGCGACCGTAATAACTGGAGCCGGTATGTATGTGTAATTGTTCTGGTTGAGTGTTGAAAGTAAAACAGTGTTGCAAACTTTGGCTGAAATCGAAAAAGGAATGCTGTAGTAATAGAAAATGAATGAACGAGAGAAAAAAAACAAAAAAAAGGAAAAGGAAGAAGAAAAAGAAAGAGAAAAAAAAAACGTAAAACGATAAATTCACTTTTTTTAATAAAGCAATTTAGTTGGCTGAGATGACGTACATTTTTTGCTGCAAAGAGATCGAGGAGACAGTCATATAACTTGAAGAAGATAAGGGAATCTCTAATGTCATCAAGCCTGTGACATCTGAAGATTAGATGCTCAGCAGATTCGACAACATTGCAAACTTCACAAGCATCACATGGTATAACGCGAGTCATTTTTAAGTAAACTTTTTCATAAGTGTGACCACTCATGAGTCTTTAAAAAATTCGATTTTCCCAGGAATTAAAAAAAGATATAGAACAGGCGATTGGATTTAACGCGCGCGATCTCCTTAAATTCGTCGTTTAGCTGTTGAAGGATGTGGTTGCGAATTGCCCGAATTAGGAGTGTATTTGAAGGACAAAATTGTCCCATCAACACGAGATCTCCCTGCATGAAAGTCGGCTTTTACATTAAAAAAAAAAGCCGCAGCGGCCAGGTACCCAGACAAGGTGACAATCATGCAATTGAGACTCATGCAACATCTTATGAATATCAAACAGATATTGATTCTCTGCATCTTTTTTATTTATTAGAAGTAGAGCTGACTTGCTATCAGAAAAAATAACAAATCTTTTGATACCATCAGAGATAGAAACCTTAATAGCATGTCGGATGGCGAGCAACTCAATAAAAGTCGAGGAAAGTTCCTCCGCCACTTTGACTCGATGTACTGTTTTAGATAGATGTTTCACAACCGAGAAGACAGATACATTATGTCCGACGGAACCGTCGGTGGCATATATATCGTAGCCGTTGTTGTAATAAAAAAGGACGTTTTCTTGGCATAACATGCTTATACAAGAGAAGTTGACATTTTGTTTTGAGTTAGGGATCGATTCGAGAATGTTTGTGAGGACTCTGCATATGTTGATGCTGAAATTCCAGGGAGGAATTCAATCTATCTTATCAAAGATGTGAAGAAGTTTTTCATAGCAAAAAGTGTAGCTGCAAGAGACAGCGTCACTGAGAGATATAACTTCCTAAAAAAAGAAAGTCTTAATTAATTGTTTGGCAGTGCAAAAAAGAGCTCTTTCGGAAACCGGCCACTCACCAGATATGACATTGAGAATATGTTAAAGAGTTGAGGGGATCAGTCCAATACAACTTTTTAATATTCGATTTTCAAATGTTTGTATGCGTTTCTCAATATATTTTGGGAAATTGCAACAAGTGGAATGTGCAAATTCAATTTTGGACCTGACTAAAGATTTGTATACTGTCAGAGCCTGACTGATTGTTAGTCATGAGTTTAATGATGTTACATCCAGATTGACAGTCTTTGAAGGCTTTCTCATAATGCCCACGAAGGCTTAAACTGTCTTTTAAAATTCTACCAAGAAACCGAAGAGATTTCACCTGATCAACCTT